ATGCTTTGACCCTTTAAGACAGTTCCTTGTATTGTGGTGACCCCCCCCAACCATAAAATTATTTTTGTTGCTGCTTCATAACTAATTTTGCTACTGATATGAATCATAATATAAATCTCTGATGTGTAGGATATCTGCTATACGACCCCTCTGATAGGGTTGTTTGGCCACCCAAAGAGGTCATGACCCACAGATTGAGAACCACTGTGCTAAAGCAATGTGGGACTTTGTGGAACTCTGGAGTCACAAAATATACAGACTCTTTTTTCCTTAGATGGCTTCTAGGTTGGCATTCTGAACCAACACTAAGTTCTCTGAAAAGCCATCTCCAGGTAAGAGCTTCCTAGATAGATGCGGAGCTCACATGGGGAAGGGAACCCCACTTTAAGACCCCAACCTGCAGCTGGAGGCCACACACCCTCCTGCATCAGTCCTGACATTCTGCAGGTGCGTGGCACAACCACCACCCCAGCCTCAGACTGTCCCAGAAGTGGCCTAGGTACATCATCAAGAAGTTCCACAAGTCTCATGACTCCAAATCTAGTTATGACATTAGAAAAGTCTACATTTAATCCAAAATTGGCAGAATCCATCAATCAGTAGCCTTCATGAACTCCAAGAAATGCTTTTTTTTTTCTTTCTCGGTTTTTTTTTTTTTTTTTAATCTGCCAAAATTCAAAAGCCCTGCCATAGCTCTCTTAACCCCACCATTTTATTAATGCCATTCCACCCCCTGGAATATTAACATCATTTGAGGGTGGCTTCGGGTCAACTCCACTGAAAACTTGTCACAATAACACAAGGCACTCACAAGACAACAGAGGATACCTGGACAATTATGTACAAGGAGGTCATAAGCCCAGATTCACACAGACATTCAAATCCAAAGAGAGATGGTGAGGTCCACAAAGTATGATTCTCAAAAGCCAGAGGACTGGAGTTTAATCTCAGCACCCACAAAAAAGCCAGGCACATTTGAGCAACTGAGGAGGAGTGGGGCACACTGAGGAGGAGTGGGGAACACTGGGGAGGAGTGGGGAGCATCAGAGAAGAGTGGGGGACACTGGGGAGGAGCCGGTGAAATCCCTGGGCCTCACCGGGACAGTCAATCCAACTGAACCAATTGTAACAGGTTCATTTAGAGATCCTAGCTCAAAAGATAAGGTAGACCTAAGGAAGGTCCACGTCTGGCCCCTCATGTGCACATGCACACACTCATCTGCAAACACACTTGCACACAGACATACCTACCTACACACACACACACCTCTGCATGCACACACACCTGCAAACACACATGCACTTGCACGCACAGACATACCTACCTACACACACACAGACACTCCCACTTGCACACACACATACCTGCACACGCATACATAAAAATGGTTAATTTTTAAAGCCCCTAAAACAAAACATTCCACAAGTACTCCAATAGTGAGAGTAGTATCACAGACCATACACACTCAATGCTCCGGTCATTACCAAGACAAAGTCCCAGGAATAACTAACCATTTGGCACATATTAGCAGACCCCAGCAATTCCACAGCAAGAACTGATTCTTCAGATAAAGAAGATCATGTTTTTAGCATGTGTGTTCACACAAGCACATGCATGCATGCATCACAGCACATATGTGGACCTCAGAGGACACCTAGAGGGAGTCCGTTCTTTCTTTCCACAGAACTAGGGAGAGTTTGTTCTTTCTTTCCAGGAATGTGGATTCCAGAAAGCAAACTCCAGTCATGCTGTCTGGCAGCAGGCACCTTTACCAGCTGAGCCATCTCACCAGCCCCCAGAAACAACACCATCTTTGTGAGTGGCAGTAATGGCAGACCTGACTGTGATGGGGGAAAAGCCAAGGTCACTTTGAGATCAACAAGACCCTGGAGTAATAAATTATGGACCATCCACATTATATATGGAACACTTTGAGCCTATTAAAAGTGGAAGGGAGTTGCAGGCTCTATATAAACACCCACACTCACAGGGAGCGGGCAGGAGACCTTGGCTTTTCCATCCACGGGTAGCTCTTCCACATCAGTACACTCGGTCTCAGGGTCTCCATGCCAATGAAAACTACTCAGCAGAAAAGGGATGTGAAGGGGCTGGTGAGATAGCAAGCCTGAGGACCTCAGTTCAATCCCTGGAGCCCATGGGGGAGGGGCAGAGAAGAGACTCCATGAAACTGTCTTCTGACCTCCACACTCATACGGTGACACACATGCATGCATGCATGCATGCAGACACACACACACACACACACACACACACACACACACACAGAGAGAGAGAGAGAGAGAGAGAGAGAGAGAGAGAGAGAGTTTTGAATATTGCTTCTGATAAGGTTGCCCAAGTGGCAGGGACATGGTCCCTGCCCTGGTTGCAAGGTTGGAAGGTCGGGCTAAGTGATTCTTCAACTTCTCAGAACAGAGCTCTGGCAACAAGGGGGTATTATTATAATCCCAGGTAATGACTGTCCTTATGTCCCTGCCTAGAAGCACTCAGGGCCTAGCCAGCAGGAAAGGGGGACATAAAAGATACAATGTGGCCCCTGTGCTCTGCCACACTGCCTGGATGGGGACTCAGAACCTCGGCCCTTAACCGTTAGCTCCTTGGCAGGGCACAGGACCTTTGCTCTCCTTGGAAGTGCCAATGTCTTCTCACACACTTGCGACAGCCCTCTAGCCAGTTGCACATCTTGGTCAAAGATACTCTGCTCCTGGGACCTCTGGACCTCTCTGTACCTCCCCCTCCAAACCCGCTCCAGCCATCAGTAATGGTCACATATCCCCTGCCTGTCCAAGAGAACTGCAGCTCCATTCTGAACCTGTAAGATGAGTGATTTAAACAGCACCCATCACCCAGCGGTACTAGGAACTAGCCTATGAATGGTCCTCTCCACAGTCTACACTCCAGGCAAAAACTGGGGACTGACCCAACAGTGACAAACAGCTCCAATATATATATTGCAGCAGAGTATTTTTGAGTATTTAAATTTAAAATATTCAGATTGTACCAGGGGACACTACTGGATCAAATGAATACGGAGGGATTGGAAGAGTGTACTCATGTTCCATAATAAACACAGTTTCAGGCAGGGTATGATGGCCCACGCCTGTGATTCCAGCATCCATCAAGAAGGCTGAGGCAAGATGATCCTGAGTTCCAGGTTAGCCTGAGCAACACAGGTCAAGCCCGGCCTGGGCTACACAGCAAGTTCTGGCCCAGTCCAAGCTGCAACAGCTCCGAATTCACATGAGGACATCTGAGTGTAGCCAGATCACCCGCCAGCCTGCATCACTCACTCCTGGTTGTTTTTTAATAGGCTCCAAAGACCAGGGCTATTAGCGCACAGGACACCAACCCCATGCCCAGCCATCCTAGAACAAGGTATCCATCCGGGTAAACATCCCCACCTACGTACTCGCTAAAATCAATTCATATAATTATTGGTCCCTTTCAGAGAGAGAAGACACCAGAAAAAAAAGTAGTTCATTTTTGGACCTGAAGCTAGCTAGCATCAACTAGCCAGGACTAGCCCAGCTCTACAAAGGGTCCTCAGTGGTACCCTGAGCTCCCCGGCTTAGAGTAACAATCCGAAGTGGCTCTGAGGCATCTCAATTCATTTGGGCAACAATCTGGTTAAATGAAGTATGGTTTGGTTGTTTTGTGTGTGTGTGTTTTTCCACTCACTCTAGATAGCAAAACTGATAACCAGGCTCCAGAAGTGATGTCTGTAGCCCAGCTATCAGTGGTCAGCTGTCTTGCCATCTCCTGGTTTTTCCCTCTCTCTAGCCCGAAGCCCTGAGAACACCTGACTGATAAGCCAAAGGCCTGACCCAGCCCCACCCAGCAGATACCTCTCAACTGGGGACAGGAACCAAGGATCCCATCTCCTTCATCTGAAGCCCGAGTTATCACCGAGGCAACAAGACAGGGCATGCTGTCCCTTTCACTGCCACCCCCTCTCCAAAGTGACAAACATCTTAAGAACTTTGGCAACTGCCACCTAAAGAGGGTGGAAGTCACTCGGGGAGTCATAGCCACCAAGACAGCACCAAGCACTGGACCCAGGCTTCCCAACCCAACCACCAGGCCCTGCACAAGCAAGGATAAGGGCCAAAAGCATACACCCACACACACTAGCTAAACCCGTGACAGCAGAGGCCAGCCTTGTCAGCAAACAGGAAGCCTTGTCAACATGGGGGACCAAACACACTGGATCATTCAGCCTTCCTGGGGACACCGAGGAGTTCCCTTACTGGGGTACTTGTTAGTCCCTGACTATTATGCTGAAAACTGAAAACACATAGTACAGAACAAGGGATGGATAGTACATGTCTCAATCTTCCTGGGTCGCCATCCACTCCTCTAAGAACCGTTAGAGGCTCATCTTTCCCCAACTTCACTACCCTGTGGAAGGCCACGGTGTCCCGCACTCCCCAGACCAGCCCTGCCCATAGCTTTCAGCTGGCTTTCCTGCCAAGGAGGGTAGGTATCTGCAGCAACTACTGGCCACACAAATCACCAGCCAGCCACCCTGACTCTAAGCCCCTATTACCTAAGATAAGTTCCAAAGCGCTGCTTTTTCACTCTCCTGTTCCCCTGACCTTCCCCCAGGTAAAACCGTCCGTAGCCTGGCAGGTGAAGCCGCAGGCCCTGAGCCCACCACACCGCAAAGCAGCAGCATGGAGGCCTGCGGGGGTAACCTGAATATCCGGGCTCCCAGCTCGCTGCCACCCTGCGGAGGCGTTGCCTTGGGCTCGCAGATCAACCTCCCAGTCTGGCCCCAGTACCCTAGGCTGCAAAGCCTGAATCCTAACCCCTGGGGATGAGTCTCATCCAGGTCCCAGCCTCGTGGGGTCCCTGCAAGCTCCACGGGAAGGAAGGCCCGGGAATGCGGCGCGCGCGGCCCGCATGGCCTCCTTGCGGGTCCCCACACCCAAGAATGGGCCTTGGGGCGTAAGCTAGAAGCCAGATCCCCACTACTACTCACCAAGAGAACAGGCACGCTTCTCTGCCTTTGTATGCAAACACCAGGCCTGAAGCTGCTGTCAATTTAGCACACGGTGAGGGGCGGGGCCTGGACGGGGGCGGGGTCTCCGGGGCCGCGCCAGGGGGACTTGGAGGAGCGTGAAGCTGGGATGCTTTCAGGGCCCAGTGACCTCCCCTTCACAGGTCCACCTCACCCATCTCACCCCACCCCTCCTTACACTGGCCTGAGTAGGGACCCCAAGTCTCCTCCCCAGAGCCAAAATCTTCTATTCCAACAGCCTGACCCCTTCTTGACCTTATTGCAGTTTATACTTAGTTCTCCCCTGATGTGCCTGCCACAAACCAGCCATAAACCCCTACTCTTAGCGCCCCATACCCTACCTCCCTCCTGGCTTACATTCACCACCCACCGGGGAGCAAAAAACAACTGAAAATAAACTACCAGCAATGCCAAGTCTGGTGGTGGAATGAGCCAAGTCAGGTCAAGTCACTCTCAAGCGTCACTGAGACCCCAAAGGACACTAAGTGATGTCTTGCTTTGTTTTGGAGACAGAAGGTTCATGGAACCCAGAGACTAACCCAAGGAGTCGACACTCTGAGGGCAAATGAGATGCCAACCAGCCAAAAAGAGAAGCTTTTAAAGGGGCAGACCATAAGGTTGAAGGCCACAAATTACAGAGTTTCCGTGGTTACTTAAGGTCATACAAAGTACAGAGTTAGTAACTATACATTTTAAGGGAGATACATTTTACTGAGATAAGACAGGGAATGGGCTTGCAGGGTTACAGAGTCACGGGGTCTGTCAGTTATCCCCTGGGCGGGGGGGTGGGGGGGGTTCTTTATGACCAGCAATTAGCAAAGGAATGTTAACAGGAGTGGTGGACAGTTACCTCTCCTTTTTTGATAGCAGGAGATCAGGCGCCAGTCATGGCACTCCTGATTTAAGGAGTTAAATTTTCCTTTATCATTAAACGTTTCCTTTTCAGGGCCTAAGTTTTTAAACTTTTATTAATTTGAATTTTTGGTCCCTCACCAGGAGACCAGGGAGGAAGAGGAGATGCGGTGCTTTACTCTACCTTTGGGAAACCCAGCATTTTATGGGGGGAGAGGGTCTTGTGTATCTATCCCAGGCTGGTCTCAAATTCTATGCATCTCAGAATGACCTTGAACGTCTGCCTCCTCCTGCAGTCTCCAGAATGCCACACTGGGTTGGAGGAGGGGTGGAGGAAAAACTCAGGGATTATGCAAACCAGGCAAATGTTCTACCAGCCAAGCTGTGCCCCCAGTCCCAGTCCAGATCACTTGTGAGGTCCGGGCAGACCTGCAGGGGAACTGAGCCAGGCTGGGCTGGCTCCACCCAGGAGCTGGAGAGGCAGCTGCAGTATGGCAGGGCAGGGATCAGCACAGCCAGGTGTGGAAGCGCTCCAGCTGTGCTCGGGGGCAACTGTCAGCCAGCCACAAGGATTGTCTCTGCTGCCCATGAATTCCTGGGGCTCTGGGCCCCAGAACATGGACATCCTGTCCCCTCCCATACCCTCCAGGATTTCCAGAAAGCAAGTCCTACGTTCCCTTGTTTACCTGAAGTCTTTCAAGAATTTTTTAAATTATTCAGCTCTAAAGATGGGAAGATTATAAACACAAAATTCAATCCAAAGCCCTTACTCCACAAATGAACGTGGGGATTGGTGCACCCATGGGTGCACACACACACACACACACACACACACACACACACACACACACACACACACACACACACACACACCCTCATAAAGCTCTGATTAGCAAAGGTCTGGCTGAGGGGCTTCACAGCAAGCTAGGTCCAGTTTTGCTTGCAGTTTAGATCACACACACTGGTCAGTTTTTTCAGAAACATCCAGAGTCACTATACAGAAAACTGGATTCTCTGAAGCCCGGGTGCTTTAGCCCAGCAATGTCTGGAGTCCCCCTGGTGGGGCCCCAGGCTGTGTTGTCAGCAACCTAGCTAGCCATCCTGGTGACTCAGCCTGGGAGCTGAGGTGATCCCCTGAGCCAATCCCTGCACCTGCTGTGTTCAGCCCAAGTCGGAAGAGGGGAAATAACCTGATAAGTGTGGCTAGAGGAGAAAGAAGCTGAACCTGGGCTAAGCAACACAGCATCCTAGATTCCAGACTCAGTTTCACAATCCAGGAAGTGGGTGGAGGCGCTAGTGAAACAGGTCCATTTTGAGGCTGAAAAAGGAGCCTTTTAGGTTTCCGGGGCGCTGTTGCTGACTAGATTTCCCATTCTAAAATCCTGTACTCTGAGGAGAGGGAATTCCATAACAACCTGGTGGCTGTTCCACCCACTGGCTGTGGTTCCCTGATCCCTCAGTGGGGACAGGCATCATGAACTGGTCCCTGCCCTGCAGATGAGACTATGAAACGTCCTTTCTCGTTGAAAACCCACCTCCTTCCTCTCCAGCAGTGACAGTATCTGTTAAGTCTTTGGGTTCTGTTTCCCTGACAGACTGCTCCTCTGCTAACAGCTCTGACCCAGGGTGCCCGGGAAGGTGTGGGCAGAAGGGTGAGCAGCATACAAACCCCACAGCCACCCCACCCACCCCCACCCACAGTTGGCAGACAACCACCTGACATCTCCATCCAGAGGTCAGCTCTGCAAAATCCCAGCAGAAAGCATCCCAGGGTACTGTCCCAAAGGACAGCCTAGGGCTTCTGGGAATGGAAGGCTCTTCAGAGTCTAAGGCTAGCCCTTAATGGAATGCATTAATGGAACCACACTGAATGTATTCCCTTTCTGCTTTTCCCTATTAACTGTCTAATTGTCAGACAGGTAGCAGAGCCTAGCTTGTCAGGGTACTGGGACCCCAAAACATCCAGTGATACAATGAGACGACATCATCTCAGGGATTTCCTTACTCGGGTCCTCTGAAGCATGGAGGGAATCACTGGGCACCTGGTGCCACTTCACTAAGGTGTGGGAGGACAGACGACAGAGCAGTGAGTGGGACAGAAGACAAAGCAGTGGGTGCAGCCGGCAGAGAGAGAATGTTGCCCATGGCACTATGGCTGGCCTGGGAGGATTTCTGGGGAGCCACTGTAAATGGCTCTGGTTCCAAAGGCAGAGGAGGAGGAAATTAATCCAGGAGTGCCAAAGGGCAGGGACAAAAGCGTCAGGGACAGAAGACTTTTGAAGGTCACTGGGGCCATCTTAATTAGGGTGATGCTCCAGAAGAGCAAAGGAAGTGCCAAAGTCATATAGGGGAAACTTCTAGTTGGTGGCAAGTGGGCATCTTGGAGCCTGTGCTACTCCAGTCCATCCCCCAATATGTAGGAAGTGAACAACATTCAGGGAGCCAGGCACACAACATGGCAGCCAACACACACAGCCTCAGGGGTGTGGGTACACCCACACTGTGGCCTTGCTCCCTAATCCTGCCTCTGGGAAGAACAGCCACATTGTGCTGTGTGTTCAGCACAATGGCCGGTGTGGTAGGTACCCAGGTTGCACCAGGGTTATATGCCCTCAGGGGACACACAGACTCAAGTTAGTGATCCCATGTTCAGTGCTGCCATGGAGCCAAGGGTTGCCCACTGATGAAGGGTTTGGGAAGCCTCGTCTCCAAGCAAGAGGATCCGGAGTGGGCACCTATCTAGGCAAATCCAGGCCAGATGGAGGAGACCCTGAGGTTCACCAGGTCTGACAGAGGCTGTGGTTGGCCTCAGGTGGTCAGGGACATTCATAGCTATTTGATAAGTTGTCTCTCCCCTGAGAGAAAGCAAGAGACGGTCATGCTACCCTTTCCACTGTAGTCACCTGGGAAAGAAAAATAATGAGCCAAGCAAGAGAGATGGTAAGACACAACACAGGAACAGAGGTACCAAGGATCTGAGGAACCCTGACAGCAGTCAGCATCGGCATGGAGGAATGAGTAGCATGACTTGGGGACAGTGGCTGCTGCTCTGCGAAGCTATTGACTGCTCTACTTGGTTCTGGTCTTAGGAACAAACTAAACAGACTCTGTTTCCCAGTCAGTCCTGAGTCACCCGTGACCTTGTCAGGCAAATGTAAGGGGCAGTAGTCCTTCGAGCAATGTGTCTCAAGTCTCACGTTTCCCAGCTAAGAAACCAGGCGCCCAAAGGGAGATCAACAAGGGTAGAGATGCAGAGAAACCTTAAGAGTTTAAAGTTGGGGGTGACTATGGTCAGAGTATCTGACACGCTTGAAAGAAAAGAGCTCCATGAAACCCATAGCTGTGTACAATGAATATAAAGCCAATCCTTCAAAAGACAAAAGTTTAAAAGCAAGAGTTGCCCGGTATAGAGGGTGGCAGAGAGACAGCCAATAGTGATAAAGTACTGACAGCTGTGGCTAGCATTTAGCAACTATTTACAAACCAGAGCCAGTTCTAGACGGTATACTATGTTTCTTCTTCAACAAGTCCTATGGGGTAGATAATACTGGCTGACCCAGACCCTTAAATGAAAAAAGTAAGGTACCAAGAGATGGCTTAAGTCACACAGGGCTGGTTAGCCATCACATGGCAGTTGCCAGAAATGAGACCTCATGGCACACACATGTCCAGAGTTCTATCTTACCCTAGATCTTTCCCTTCAGTCTGACTGCCCCCAGGCCAAAGGAGTTTCATGTCTCCTAGGCCCACAGGCATGAGTCTCTTGTCCTTGCTTTGGCCCAGGATGAGAAGAGGCCAACTCAGTGACATGCTGTATTTGTGACCCTCCCACATGCTGGCATGTTGACCCCAACCACCCCGCAGAAGCCACTGATCTTTCATCTGAAGTCCACAAGTATACTGCTGTCTCCCTTGAGGCAAAGGCCTTCGCCTACAACCTCGAGAAAACAATAAGCAATATCCAGGGCCTAAAATATTGTGGGCCCAGTCTAGTCATGGGGCAGGTGTGGCTGAACCTCAGCTTCCTTGGCTATTCATTGTGAGTGACCAGCCTTAACTCAGCATGTTAGGGCAATCAGGTGAATGTATTTCGACATGGATGTCAAGTAAAACTTGTCACTGGACCAGCCTTCGCTCTCACTCAGCATTCATAAAGACATATTGCCGATGGATGAATAACAAGTATTTAAGAAACA